TTTTAAAAAACAAAAATTAATTTCTTACAGTGTGGACACTGAGAAGTCCAAGATCAAGGCACCACAGGTTTGGGGCTGGTAAGGGTTCTATCTCCACTTCCAAGATGATCTTGCTTGATCTTTGCATCCTCCAGAGGGGGAGCAAGGCTGTTTCTTATGTGACACAAGAGAGGGAACCCACTGCATGAGCCCTTTTAATAGCAGCATTAATCCATTCCCAAGCACCTCCAATTAGGCCCCACCTCCCAACACTGTTGCATTGGGGATTTAATTTCAACATGAGTTTTGGAGAGGAGAAAAACATTCAAACCATAGCAAGTACCTGGAGAAATAATGAAAGTTGGTTTTAAGTAGTAATGAAGAGAAAATTCTTGGATCCCACTTGAAATTCAAGAGACTTAGGATTAGTGATGGAATTGGACCTTACTCATCAGAATTGATCTTGATCTCTTTAAAGCATGAAAATGTAAAATAATTTAAAATGCCTTAATCCAGGCAACTTTTAATAAGACACACCTGGAATAACAATTTTCGTATCTCTCGTATCTTCATTTCCTCGAGATGTGTGTTCTTTCTGCATCGTTTAAGTACGTTCTATGTGCCACCATATGTACCGATTATAATCTTTTAGATTTATCTTTCCTATTAAATTGTAAATTCTGTGAGAGTAACGGACGTGCCTCTAACACTACTCAGGCTCTTCCTAGGAAAACAGAAATATTTAGGGTCTAGTATCTGTGGGTCATTAACTGCTGATGTTGTATTCAAAATGCCAGCAAGGTAAATGTTCTAATTTCATTTCTCAACCTTGGGTACAGCAATAGATGTCTGGAGCTAATTATATTCCATCCATGAGGCTGGATAGTTAAGAGATAAGGATAGAGGCAGTGGGAGGAGTTCGAGGTAAGGAAACACAGGCATTCTGCAGAATTTTTCATTCTGTAGATATTGAATGCCTACTGTATATCAGGAACTCTGCTGGTAATCTGGGAGTCCAGCTATGAGCAACATGAACAACATCTCTGCCCTCATGGAGCTTACAGCCCCAGGAGAGAGACGGATAGTACAGAATTACTTCTTAAAATGGGTTACGAGCCACAAAAATGATAACTAGGTCAGGTAATGCATTTGTTAATTAGCTAGATTTAACTATTCCACCATGTATATATACTTCCAAACATCATGTTGTGCACAACAAATACATAATAAAATAAATAAATAAAAGATTCAGCTTTCCTGAAACAAATCTGAAATGCTTTTTCATAGCATCAATGAGAAACACCATTCTCATGTCAGGAAGAATTTTCCAGCATTGGGAACCAATGGCATATTTATAGCCTCTTTTACATCAACTTGTCAAGCAGCATCTTTCACACAGCCTGCTCCCTAGAAGCATCTCACGCTTGTTGCAGGCTGTGGCAACCCTGAAGCCAGACATTCGGTGGTCTCCGTTCCAGCGTAGCAGGGATGCTGGGAGGTAATCTGCCTGCAGCACACTGTTAGCACCAGTGTCCTGAGCGAGTCAAAAGACAATAGCAGTCCTGATTTCCTGGAGTCTAGAGGTATTTCTCTGGCCAACTGGTGTCATATGTAAACCTCTAGACCTTGGAACTGGTTGTTGGTAACTGATTGAGAGGCTTCATTCTGTGCTCTCTTTTATGTTTTTTGAATGGTGATAATGACATGCAATTTTTTAGACTCTTAATACACCTCTAAGGGTAGATTGTTAGGATTTTTGTTGCATGATAGCATGTCAGGTCTAGTTCAGAGGAGGGCAGTGATGCTTAATGTTATTGGGATGGTCCATGTTACAGAAATGTATGCCTGAAAATAGAGAAGGATTATGCTGTAAAAGAATGACCTTATTCACAAACAAAACCTCAGATGGAATATTAAGATAAAGACTATGAAGAAATGATCAACAAAAAGCCAGCCGTAGTTATGCAGCTAACTGGTTTTAGGAGTTCAGCCAAAAAAGGTTCCATTGTTGACTTAGGTTGAATGAGCTCCCATTAGCAATCAAGGCGATTTAATTTTGTACCCAACTCCACATAGGAAAGCTCAGGGTAAGAAATAATATAATGCTCCTTATGAAAAATCACAGATAGCCCATGGCCCATCCATAGTCTGATCCCAGTTTGCTCTTGCAGAGAGGAAACTTTATTCATGCAGTCATGCTTTTGGCCATCCCAGATCTTCTGTTCAGAGGAATGGTGCTTTCTTTGGGCTTTCTCTGATGAGTATCTAAAACCTGGATCCAGCATAATTGTCTTTAAATGGGCTAGCACTCTAAATCATAACCCATGTGAGATCTGAGATTAGGAGGGTGGTGTCAGGGGAGGCTTCACTGAGGAGGTGCATCTGAGCTGCTGCTTTGAGGATATGCAGATTATGCCCAGAGTACAGAGGTAGACAGAAGAATGTTTTTTTGCAGAGGGAGCAGTGTGTGCTAAAGCACAGAGGTACAGCATACATGAGAAATGGCTAATAGTTAGGTTAGCTATTAACAGGTCAGATCATGGCAGGGAGAGGTGGGAGAGGGGAATTTGACAGCAAGTTAAGAAATCAAAGACAGTAAAAGTTATGATAAAGCCATCGTGGGAGGTGCTGAAAACCTAAGGCTTTGTGTGGCAGTGGGGAGGGGTGGTGGGAACAGAATGAGGAGGTGCTTAGGAGAGATCTCTGTCACAACTTCATCAGCTGAGGAAACATACTCTAGGGAGGCATGGGACCTCCATTGTCCATCGCAGGAGGCCAGATACTGAGAATCACTGCAGGAGATGTACTCAGCTGTGTCTTGCATGCCCTTCTAGACCTTGGCACCTGGGATCTAGAGATTTTTCTCTTGGGCTCCAGGGTGGTTGATGGAAAAATTTATTCAAGTTTATTATGCAGGGGAGATGTACTCAGCTGTGTCTTGCATGCCCTTCTAGACCTTGGCACCTGGGATCTGGAGATTTTTCTCTTGGGCTCCAGGGTGGTTGATGGAAAAATTTATTCAAGTTTATTATGCAGCTGGCACTTTGCTAAGCATAAGCAGCCTACTGGTGTTATCTAATTGAATCTTTACTGCAAAGTAACCTTTTGATGTAAGTACAGTCATGCACTGCATAACATTTCGGTCAATGATGGATCACATGTACGACAGTGGTCCCATGAGATTATAATGGCTATACCATATAGCCTAAGTGTGTAGTAGATGATACCATCTGGGTTTGGGTAAGTACACCCTATGATGTTTGCACAAGGATGAAATAGCCTAATGAAGTATTTCTCAGAACATATCCCCATCATTAAGCTATGTGTAACTGTAATAGCATGCTCTCCATTTTTCAGATGAGAAAATTGAGGTCTAACAGGCTAGGTAATTTACCCAGGCTTCAAGCTTGGGTATCAGACCCTAGACCGAATCTCTTTGCCCCTACACCCACTGCCCAATGGTAACATTTCTTTGTTTCTTCATAGGTGTATAAAAAAGAGAAAGTCCCAAATAGAACCCGTGTCTCCTCATCACATCTCTTCCTTCTCCTTTATTTCCTTGCCTTATTCATGACAACACTCTTTTCTTGGCTACTGAAACTAGAAAACATGAAATTCCTGACTCCTTCTCCCTGTACCTCCCTGTACATCACCAGTTAATCACCAAACTGGAACGGTTTCCTGGGTCTCCACTATGGAAGTGTGGCTGTAAACCTGTCCCTCCTCTCAACCCCTCTAGCCCTTGAGTGCTTTGCACAGTCTATGAATTACTTCTGTCTTAACCTTCCCCATCAGATTGTAAACTCCTTTAAAGACAGGGACTGCATTTTACGTATTCCCTGCGCCTGTGGCCTCTGACGTTCACTGTGTCTTAGCAACAGTAGAATCTTAAAAATATTTACTGATTGATTTAGTCGAGGGAGCTCTTTATAATGAAAGTTTTATCATGTTTTACCATTTGTTTATTTTTGAATTAACTCAAATGAGGAGGGTAGTTGGAATGTGTGTGCTGCAGAATGGCCAGTAGGTTTTATATGAGTTCCAGCAAGAGAGTAGCAGATGAAATTAATAGGATGGACATAGAGCCAAAGATTTGTTTCCAGACCTTCTCAAAAGGGCAGATTTCTACAGAAAGTTCTTGGAAATAAACATTCGGACTTGCCGCGTCACTCAGGTCCTCCTAGGCAGTGGGGCATGACGTACCGGAGACCTCAAAGTCATCAAACCCCCTCCGCCATGGATGAGAGAACAGAGATGTTCCTCCTTCAGGGAATGTAAGTCGGATTTCCAGGCATTCCTCAAAAAGAGGATCTGTTCTCTTATTTCCCCTCACATTCTTCATCCATTTGGCATTTTAAAATTACATATGACATTGTCTGGGTTTTTAATTAAGAAGGGAAATGAGTTTCATATTAAATTGCTTTAAAAGGTGCAGACATTATTTTCATAATGAAATAGCCCCATTTTATTTACAAGTGAAATTTTAAATTTCTCAGCTTCTCTCTCCTGTACTTAGTGATCATTTTAAATTTGTCACATGATCTCTATTTTCACTTTCCCTGTCATTTTTGAAAATTCTACTCTGGTGTCCATTGGCAGGGGCTAACTCAATTGTTAGAGATGTGGGCAGGGTATGGGCCTCCACGGAAGATTTTTCATGCTGTGAAAATTTGTAATTTGGATTTCATTGATTTAGATTTGTGATAATTTAGGCCTGGCAAGTATGACTGACTTGAGGGGGTATGGGCCTCCACGGAAGATTTTTCATGCTGTGAAAATTTGTTATTTGGATTTCATTGATTTAGATTTGTGATAATTTAGGCCTGGCAAGTATGACTGACTTGAGTAGAATGTTTGGCCTTTTTTGTATAAAATTGTCATTTTTTTCATCTACTTTTCAGAACTGTAGAGCTCAAGCAATGTAAGCTCTCTTCACAGACACCTTACTTGACAAATGAGGAAACTGAGGTATAGAAGGCGGAAGAATGCTTGAGAGTAGCAAAGCCCTGGTCCTCTGTCCTCAGATTCCCATGCTGCCATGGGCAAAGGAAATACTTTTTTATTAATTCCTAAGTAGTCCTCACTTTGAACCCTGCCCTGATGTAAACGAGGCTTTCTCTCCACCATTTCCTCACCCTTGCCCTGGCTCACATTATTCTCACTGTGAAGTTATCCTTATATGCCAGCAGGGCTTTAATCAATCCAGAAACAGTTTTAGAATCTTTGCTGCACTAGAAATGCAGCTACTTACATTGTTTTTCTTCAAAGGCAACCTTGAAGTGGCCACTTCTGTTAGGACAGAAAGGACAAACATGTGTGGTCCCTGCTCCCTCACAGCTGATGGGACAGCCTGTAACCAGAGCTGGCTACCTCCTTCTGCCAGGAGACCTCAGTTGAGCAACTAGCTCTCTACGCTGGTCCCCAGGTTGGCCTTGGGATCCTGCAGATTCTTGACATGTGGGCAGGCTCAAGGAATTTGCTGTGAGCAGCAGCTGCTCCAGGGACTATTTCCATAGTAGATTCTGCCCCAGAATTTCAGAAGAGCACTAGGCAAGGTCAAAAGTGACCTGACATCTTTCTCCAGAAGCTCTAGAACAATGCTGTGCATCCTTTTGTGAGAATGGATGACTATGGGAATTCAATGAAGGCTGTGGACCATTCCTCCTGCGCCAGCCCCAAATGTGGAGATGTGTGAGCACGCATACACTCACACAGCTTTGCATGCTATTTCAGGGGTCTGGATTCTCCGAGCCCCATCCATGGAGTGTAAGAATCAGTCTCCCTAAGGTAAAGATTTCAAACTTATAATGAGTGCCACCTAAATTTGTGTAGCACTATACGATGGTACATAAAAGGTTCATGGAAAAATAGAATTAAAAGATAATATGAATCTTTCCATTAACTTTTTGAAGACCCCTCGTATGGTTAATGACACATTTGACATACAGTATAGCATTTGATCCTGAATAAATTCATGTGTTAGCTATATCTCTCCCAACCAATAGATGGAAAATAATAGAATAGAATAGTGGCAATAATAATAATAATACTATTATTATCATTTTCTATTGCTAATGTTTAGTTTGCTGTCTGCCAGGCACTGTTCTAAGCACTTTACATATAGGTAGGAACTATTATTAATCTTAGTTAAAAAGTGAAGTAATTAAGGCAGGATAGTGGGGGGCTCACAGGATCCGTGAGGGGCTTGAGGACCATGCATGGGTTTGAGTGGAACCCAAGGTATTTTTCAGAACTTGTGAAGGAGTCATTTCTGGTCAGTATACTTGCCCTAATATGAATAATCTCCAATCAATTCTTTAACAATTGAATTACTTATTCAAAATGCAATGCCCTGGGGGAGACTATCCACTACTGGCCCAACTTTTAATAGATAACATGCCCAACCCCTGGCTGAACTTGTCTCTTTGGCTTCTATGGAGAGTGGCCAGCTTCTGACTTTACCCTTATAGTCATAGTATATTTAATGGAGAAGAGCTAATTTTCCCAAAAGAAGCTGGAGTGAATTAAAAAGGGAGAATAAATGTTGGACAGCTAAAAATGATCAATGGACTAGTGATCTGCTACTGTCCCCTCCAGCCTTGAGATTTGTTGGCTTGTTGATTCTGTGCATGCCTTGGTTGAACAGTTGAATGAACTAATGGTGATTGAGCCCATACCGAAAGTCTGATGCCAGCAGCTGGCATTTTCTATTGCTGCATCCACACCCTCAGCACCAAAACTAGCTCTTGAAAAGGGGACAGGAAGCAAAACCTATTTTCCTTAATAAAAAAAAGTAGTTGAGCTAATTGCTGTATTAATGTAGGCTATTTTCATGGGAAAAGAATTTTATGTGTGGGGTAGCGTGCCATAGTAAAACTTTATTTTTAATTAGATGCTGGTTTTTCAGATGCTTGGGCCATACTAATGTGTGAAGAGTTAGTTTGGGACTTGGGTTTTTGCAAGGATTTACTGTGTAAAAGCAAGCTCTTTGGTTCGCAATAGTTTTTCCTACTGCCAATGACTTTAGCCATCGTCCGCATGCATGGGACTGAGTTCTGTACTCAGTACACACCTTCACATCTATTCATGTATTTCAGTCCAGATCTGGTATTTGTACTGGGAAGGACATAAATGTAGACTGTCCCTCCCCACAACACACATTCGCATACACTCCCCCACTTAGAGCTCCACAGAAAACATCACCCTGAGCAGCTGCCTCCACAAGGCAGTTGCACTGTGGCGGTAGGGTGTCATTGGTCATGTGCAGCTGAAGTAGCATGACAAGGCAGGAAAGACACGGACTTTGAGGCCACACATCTGGATCGGCTCACTGATGCTCTGTCCACTTTTTAAAATTCCCTTTCTCTGTGTGTTCCATTTTGCGTATTTTCTATTGCTCTGTCTTCAGCTTCACTAATCTTCGTTTCTCCAGTGTCAGCTCTGCTGTTAAGCCACCCAGTATAATTTCCCTATCAGACATTGCCATTTTCATCATTTCATCAAGAAGTATGACTTTTTAAAAGATATATCTTCTGGGCCGGCCCGGTGGCACACTGCTACAGTGCGTCGCTTGGGAGTGTGGCGGCGCTCCCGCCGAGGGTTCGGATCCCACATACAGAC